CGGTACATATAAGTAAAAATTAATTTTAGAATTCCTCTTTTCTGAATATACCGTAGGGTTTAGTATCTTTATGCTCTCCGAAGGTCTCCTCCCAATAGAGTTTCTCACGGTCTGTTAACAAGACTTTTTTCTTGAATGGTTCCACCATAAGTAGACCAGCCGAATTGACTGATGTTACCTGAAAAAAAGGCAATATATGTTGGATTACAGTATTGGTGGTCTTCGACTATAGCTATGGACCTATAGATTAAACGTTTTTGAATTTAGTGCCAAAAATTTTACCAGGATATCTTTGGAGTAGAAATCAATTCTCAGCGGGCTGTGCGTGATTACCACTCGGTGGCCATCTTCAGTAATCATCTTTGACACCTTTCCGTCCGTCTTTGACTTTTTGATTCTATATTAATGATCTTATAATGAGCAACTGAAGAAGTAGCGAGGGGCGAAGCGTACTTTTGCTGTTTGGGATCCCTCTCAACGAGAGCATCAAGCGGTCGGAATCGCTTCCGTACGGCTCCCTTCGGTTCATCGATGACCAATCTGCAAATAGCAATCGCACTACAGGTGAGAAAATATTGTAAAACTCCGCTGAAACTCCAGCGATGATGAAATACAGTTTTCTTAAGAATTTTGAAGGCTACTGTAACAGTGCTAGGACTTTGAAATATGTCTATGGCCTGATTTCTTATTTTCAAATAATAAGAAGGAGTTTCAACTGTTGAGTTAAATAAGATTAGAGTAACATCTTCTTCTGTGTATGCAATTGGAACTGGTCACTGTTGAGTGTCGAAATATCACACAAAGAGAGAGAACTCAAAAGTCTTGTGTGAAATCGCCATCATAAATCAATAATGTTCGCGTTCACTCATTATCGTATAGACTTCAGAAAACTCCTTATTCTACTGTAAAAACTAAAAACTCGTACCGAAACGTGGAATCATCCAAAGCGACTACATGGAGGTCAAGCGTGAGATCCTAAAAATGACTTTTCACGAGCAAGCAGAGAATTACAATAAATGCTCGCGACGCTAGAGAATCTATCTCTGAAACAAACTCACCTTATTTTTGATTTGAGCAGAATATGCAGTATCATTGAACTTTGCGGAACCATCAACTACCTCGTATCCAGTAGGGGAGGTCACCTCACGCTGCCGCCTAGCGAATAATTATAGTGTAACAAGGAAGGCTAGTTTTCGAAGTTCTTCAAATTTTTGTGATAATCTTAAATTAAAT